TTGATAAACAATATACGATAATCATAAGATATTAAATAAGATTAGAAAGATAATTAAATAAAATAATAGAATAGATAAATATATAAAGAAATCAAGTCATATAAATATATAAATATATAAATTACTGTAAAAAATTAAAAGAATTTTATTAAATATCACATAATTCATATGAGAAGAGAACTTGCGTATAATTGATTAAAATTACGCGCGCGCATGAAAACATAACATGAAAAGAATAACTTTTTTTAGTACTTCAAGAGACGCCTCAATTAGAATAACTTTTTTTGGTATTTCAAGAGACGCCTCACTTTTTTTTTGCTCTGCCACTCGTTTTAAACAATAATATAAATTCTAAAGAAAAAAAAAAAAAATCTAGAACAGGCATTAACATTTACCCGGAGTAAATCAAGTAAACAGGTTTATTACATCTCCGATCTTGATATTCAGATATACAGATTTTCATGGGGAAAAGAATTTACCGTAGAATTAGAATATATATGTTTAAATTATGACGTATAATAAAGGTAAAGTTCTATACTTTTCCATTAGTAGGCAACATTCCCGGTTTTTTTATATAATAAAAAATTAGAAATAAGAAATACAATATTATACTGTAAAAACTTGTGACTTTCTCTAATAACCAGTGACAACCAGGTGATAAAAAAATAAAAATAAAAAATACGAGAAATTTCTAACTTATATAGTTTCGAAACGACGAGAAGATTTCCGCTATTATATAAGCGTTATGTTTATTCCGAAATTTCGATCGATTGCGTTATGTGTGATGATTGCGAAATTGAGATTGTGAAATTGTGAAATACTGTGAAATACTGTGAAATATTGTGAAATATTTGAATATTGTGAGATATTAATATCGATAATATATATAACATTAGTTATTAGTTGTTAGTATACATAGTATACATACTGTACGTATATCTGATATATATATATATTTATACTATATTAAAATGTAAAAAGTTTAATATATCGATATATTTGATTGAAAAATTAATAATTCAGTCATAGGTTAGTAATTAAAATATTTAGACCTTTAGTCATTCATAGTTAGACCATAAAATAAAATAGTGATAATGATAGAGAAGGCACGTACGTACGTAAGTACATACACTACCTGCTACGTACATACGTACGTACGTACGTATGTATGTACAAATATATCTATTCTTTGATTTATTAATAATGAAACAAAGATTAAAAAATATCAGGAACACAAAAATCCTAGAAAACACCGGAATCACAAGAATTTGGCAAGTGAGCGATGGAAGAAGACATGAAATTCACAATAAAGTAATAAGAAGTAAAGTACAGGAAGAGACATGCATAGAATAACATGGGATTACCGAATTCTCGGACAGGATTTAATCTGGAATATTTTTACATACGTACTGTACGTACGTACAATAATAATAATAATAATCCATTATAATATATATATATATATATATATATCTTATATATATATATGATATATGATATATATAATTTATATATAATGCGTATAAAACGCGGGCATACATATTATTATCGGTTTATGGGATATCAAGCAAGTCACATGTAAAATATTTAATCGTCAGATTGGCACAATGCTCGAAACAAAGTATGATGAGCTTTTCACATGGAAATTAACAAGCTATATATTGAATTGATGAACGAACAGAGGGACTATCTATGACTTTGAATGAAATAATGAAATAACGAAATAACGACTCGTTTAGAAAAAAAATTTTTTTTAACATTATTTTAAATAATTAATAATTTAATGATTTTAATTATTAATAATTAAATATTTAAATAATTACGGTTATTATAATAGTTTTAATTACTGTTAATTACTGTTATTATCTGTTATTTATTATTGTTATTATTATTATTGTTATTATTATTGTTATTATTACTGCACTATTACTGTATTATTAAAACTATAATTAAAACTATAATTAAAATTATAATTAAAATTATAATTAAAAAATTATTATTAAATTTATTATTAAAATTATTATTAAAATAAGTCACATCACGAAGCATCACTAATCACAAACAGGGTTTTCACACATACAATGAAGATTTTAGGCGGGATTTCTTGAGATTATAAAAAAAACCGACAATCCGGGTTAAAAAAAGGCAGAATCATTTATTTATACGATTAATATAATCATAAATGTATTAGTTTAGATTAAGAAATGATAACATATTACTTTATTACATATGAAAAAAAAAGAATGTTCCAATAAAGTATATTGTTCCTTACTTAAAAGAACATCAAATTTAGATAACTTGGAACATTTTTTAAGAAAAGGCACATGATCTTTACGAATTTCTCTTAAACGAAAAGTGAAACAAAATTAACTCGCGCATATGCAACAATCAATCCGATAGGGTTTCAATTTATGATAAAGGTCAAAGCGAGTAGATGAACATATATATATAATACGATCACGAGAGGATCGCTTGAAGGTTCTATTGTACTTATTTAATTGGTATGAAATGATTGAACTCGTATGATTTACCGGTAATCTTTCGGAAATTGGGCTCTCAAAAGAAAAAATTCTTTTTTTTTTATGTGGAGAAGTAGTCCCTGTCATTCTATCTTTTTAAAACGTCAGTGCGTAACCCTTTTTTTTTTTTTATTTATTTCATACAATTTTCATATACTGTATATGCTGTATATTCTATATTTGAATATCAGATACACACTTTCATCAGATATTCATACTTTAATATATATATATATATTCGTATATTTTCATATGGGTCAGTCTGTACCGTTATGAGTATTCAGGCACTTTTGATCAAACTTTGATAATTCATTGGACCATATTCTTGAGTAGATGCTCTACTTTTAGTGCAAGTCTTATCACATAATATCATATAACAATTTATTACAATTCTTGTTCAAAGGTTCAAAATTTCTATTGTTAACCTTAATTATTAAAATTGATTGAACTTCGATATTTCAATTTAAGGAATTTTGCCCGAATACTCATAACGGTACAGACTGACCCATATATTTTCATATATTATTCATATAATTCATATATATTCTCACATCTTTTATATTTTCATATCTTTTTACATCCTTTTATATCTTTTTATACTTTCATATATATATATTTATAATAACGAGATTATATATCATTCTTTGTTTATGATTCGCTATTTTATTTATCATTTCTTTAGTTTATATTTATCGTTCGTTATTTATTTTATATTTATTTTATAAATTTGCTATTTTATTTTTATAATAATTATAATAATTATAATAATTGACTATTTATTTATCATCATTCGTTATATTACTCTATCATTCACTATTACCAACTACTATCAACTACTACTATCAACTACTATCAACTACTACTATCAACTATCATCATTTATCATCTATATTATAATAAACTCTATATAAAATAATATTAGGATGACGAAAATGCTTGTGTGTACACAATAAATCGGATCATTAATTAATAAGACAAATTTTTTTTACATATTTCGGCATATTTACATTTTACATTTGCTTGCTTAAGTGACCGGATAAAATATCATATAAGCAAAAAAATTAATCTTATATAAGATTACATTATCAAAAAAAAAAATTTTTTTTTATTTTATTTTATTAAAAAAAAGAATAACGGGAAATTTTTTTAAAGTAAAAAGAATGAATAAGAAGATGTAGCGGAAATGTAAATCTTTAAACTATTTTCATGTGTGTGTGACATGAAATTTAGCTTGGGGGTCAATTGTAATATATCGAATAATAATTTATGAATATTATATATACATATATATATTGTGTATTCTAAAAATAAAGTAATCCCTTACTGCCGTTTTCCGAATTTATAGTATTCTCTATTGTAATTTATGTAATCTTTATTTTATTATATTATGAATTTATATTATTATTATTATTATTATTATTTAATATTATTAGGTTTATTTTTTTTTTTTTGATTAAATCAACATTCCTGATTTAAGAGTGATTCTTTTTTCTGCCTTTCTTTTCTATCACATACACACACGCACTGAACGAATACTTTTAACAAACAAAATTTCTTTAGTTAAAAATTGAATCGACATCTACAATTTATGTTGTGTTCCTGAACTATTGACAGTTTTTTATATAAAATAAAGGTCAAAACGGTTTGTTTTCCCCTCCACACTAGTACCTTAAAGGTTGAGGAAAAATATATATATTTAACCCCCCCTTTCGAATCTTTAAAAAAAAAAAAAATTTATTATATTGGTGTGCTTCTTTTATCTTTTTTTTTTTTTTTTTCTCTTGGTAAAAATTTAACTCGAGAAAGAAAGGAAAGAAGAAAAAAAAAAACCCCAAAAAAATATATATATATATCTTAACGATACTCTTTTATTTTCTCTTTTCTATAAGGTAGAAAATAATATTAGTACTGTCGAGAGATTTTTCGACAATCCGCATTCCGCACGATATTTGATTTACTATAAACGAAAATTACATCACAAAAATTTCCATTCTTAAATTAACCTGCTTAGATCCTCGATTCTTAAACAATAGTGATTACATACAAACACTTGTTTACCCGGGGGTTAACAACAAAAATTTTTTCTCACAAATTTTCTTTCCGTCAAACACTTTTTTATTCATATTTGATAATCCGGAGTCTTTTTTCAAGTTAATTGATAAAAAAGGGTTCGTCATTCTTCCAGTTTGTTTATACTATCCTCACGAAAATCATCAGCCTGTTTAAGATTCCGATTCCCCACTGCCGATCTCTTTTTTTCTTCGAAATCTTCGCTCGAAAAGGTTCGTATTCATATGATTTTTACACCATGTTGTTTACATTATTATATTGGTTATTCTAAAAAAAAATTTATGTTGCACGAATATCCTTTGTAAATTGTGTATAAATAGTGGGTGTTTGTCCTCGAACTTTTTTTCTTTAAAAAAAAAAAAAAAAATCTTCGATTAAACGATAGTTATTCTTCGTTTCACTTTCACCATCATGGAACACGGCAACAACGATTACTATTACTCTGTAGAAATTTCTACTTATCAAAGTTTATCGAATCATCATCATCATCCTTCTCACCAACAACAACAACAGTTAAGATATTCTCAACGAGAACAGTTACGAGAACAGTTCTTTGAACAAGAATCACGACAATATTATAATTCTCGGATGCCATCGTCGCATTTTGGCCTTCATTTAAACAACAATTTAAACAATTTAACCATTTTAAATAATAACAACAACAATTTAAACAACAATTTAAATAACAACAACAATAATTTAGATAATTACAATAATAATAATAATAATAATAATAGTAATAATAATCTTCTTCATCAACCGCAACAATTTTCGTATCCTTCTCAAATACAAGATTATCATCCTCAACAAAGGTCGACGTTCGACGATAGCATGTTGTCCGAGAATCCTCATATGCCAATTTTTCGATCATCTTCACGAACTCAAAATCATAATACTCAAATTATTCATTCACCTAATTCACCTAATTCACCCAATTCACAACAACAACAACAACAACCAATTCAATCTTTACAAGATTCACCAAAGAAAAGTTCTTTCAAAAGACAAGTTATTACGGGTCCTAATACACCTCCATTAACACCACCTCGTCATCATCGTCCTTATAAGAGACGTAGTTCTTCAACTTTGCTTGTTAAAAAATCTGATGGTGCGATGGTTAGTTTGTTAAACGATGATGATGATTCAACTTTATCTCCTACTTCCTTATATTCGGATGACGAATCGGTATTTTCATCTTCGGTTTCTAGCTGTGGATGTTCTGACGATGGTTTGGTCTCTCATATAAATTCACCACAAAGACAACGTGTGCCTCCTTCAAATCCTTCTCTTACAAATACTACCACCACAGTAAATAAACGTAAATATATTTGTCAACATCCTGATTGTGGTAAAAGCTTTACTACAAGGTTAGTTTTCTTATTATCATAATATAAAATATAATAATAATATGCTATATATATATATTATATAATATAAATATATATATATATATAATATTATAAATTTTTATATAGCATATATGGCATATACGAAATATTTAAATTTTATTATATGTATTATATTCTTTAAAATTATATTATTTAAACAATTTTATCAATCTTTCTTGTAGTGGTCATCTTGCTCGTCATAATAGGATACACACTGGAGAGAAAAATTTCCCTTGTTTAATGCCAGGTTGTACATCAAAATTCTCACGTCAAGACAATATGATGCAACATTATAGGACGCATTTATCTTCTAAAAGTCGACGTGGTTCAAAAGCTGGTATTCACACACCCCCTCCTCCTCCACCACCACAAACTGATATTGATGAACCTCAATCAAAGCGTGTTAGATGTATGCCTACCCCAACTTCTACACCTATAACATCAACGTCATCTCTTGTTTATCCTTCAATGAATAACTTACCATCAGTTAGATCAATATTAGAACCTGTTCAATTACCCCCAATCCATTCCATGATGCCATCTGTTATCTCTTTACCACAATCTTCTTCACATCATATGAGAAGCGGTAGAATAGATAACATAAACAATTCTATTGGGATGACAAGTTACGTTAGTATAATGGGTTAATTCATATATTTTTCCATTATTTGTACAAAAACGAACAAGTCTTCGTCATCTCCAATTTGTTGTAATATATGTCTTTTTTTTTTTTTTTTGATCTGTAATTAGTTTTTTTTAGTCGACAATAATTAAGTTTAATAACAATCCCTTTTTTTTTCTTCTCTTAAAACAACATTTTTTTCTTTAAACAACTCGATCGTCCATTTTTTTGCAAAACTTTTTTTGCAAACTCTTTGTTTGATGTTAATTGACATGTCAAAGAGTTATTTCATATGCATTACACTTAGGAAAAAAAATCACCTGCCAATTTTTTCAAAGCGAACAATCAAAAAGAAAAAAACAAAAAAAAATTTTTTTGCATTAATAATATTTGCGTTAATTGTATGAATTTAATATGAATCTAAAATTTTCCTTATTAGCCAAAAATTTTCTCGTAGACAGACAGATCGTAAACGATGGATGATTTTTTTTTTTTTTTAAAAAAAAAAAAAAACTTTAAAAAAAATCTCGAAAAATACGAAAAATACGATGAAATCAAAAACCAAAATTTAATATAATAATTGCGAAACCTTAATTACGAAAATGTTTTATAACCGTAAAACGTTAAACACCAAGACTGTTAATAGACGAAGAGATTAAATAATTATTTTTTTCGATTTGCCTTGATAAAAAAAAAATATATAGAAATGATACAGGCAATAATACACAAATATTTATTCACATGACTTTAATAATTTCTTTTTAATTTTCTAACCAGTTTTTAAGAATTTTTTTTTCTTTTTTTTTTACGAAATTTTTTCTGTTATAGTAATTTAATAATTTAAAAAAAAAAAAATCTTTTCTTATAATAATATTTGTAGTTAATATAATATTAAAATTAAAGAATTGCGATTGAATCGTAAAAAAATTATAAATAATAATAAAGTGCTACGTAAAAGGGATAGGACTGTAATAGAAGTTTAATACTGTAATAAAAATTTTTAGACTGTAATTAGATAGAGTGAATTAAAACAACCATGTATGCTCACGTTTCTGTTCCACATCTGTTCTACATCTGTGCAGTATACAAAAGAATTGATCACATGACATTCATCTTTCATAAATACTGAAATAATGAATGACTAGTATATAATTCTGTAATTTCGGGGAAAACAAGATTAAACCTTCCTGAAAAGGTAAATTTTTTGAAAGAACTATGACGCTATAGATTTTTATTAAATGACATAATGTGTATATAATACGTTAGTAATCCCATTTTGTTATCTAAATTTGGTAATTAGTCCGAGAACTACAATATATAAACTTTACTTTTATGTTCTTTTCTCCACAAAATATAATTTACAACATCGTATGATTAACCGAGCAAATAAACATCGAAGCTTTTAATTATGCAATGTTAATTATTTCCGTGATCGGTTAGGTGACATATGAAATAATTGGTCTTCTTTAGATTTTTTTTTTATTCAAAGAAAGTGATTTTTTTTTTTTACTTATTAAAATCTTATTATAATTAAAACTAT